GGAATTCTTATTTCTAAACCGGTTAGCCTAGCTCCAAAGACCCCTCTGTGTAAGAAAAGGCGTCGCCATAAGTCAGCTCTGTGCTGTCCAGAGACCCCTGAGCTGAAACTTAAGAGGGCTTCAGAATGTGGAGTTGGTGAAGATATGCCTCCAAGAGCCCCTCAGCAGAGTCCACAAACCGCCAAGAGCCCTCTACAGACGCCTCAAGCCACCTCAGAGACTGAACTTGAGCCCCCATGGGTGGTCACTCCAGTTCCAGAGGTGGAACCACAGTCGGTGGTCCCTCCAGTTCCAGAGGTGGAACCACAGTCGGTGGTCCCTCCAGTTCCAGAGGTGGTACCACAGTCGGTGGTCTCTCCAGTTCCAGAGGTGGAACCACAGTCGGTGGTCCCTCCAGTTCCAGAGGTGGTACCACAGTCGGTGGTCTCTCCAGTTCCAGAGGTGGAACCACAGTCGGTGGTCCCACCTGCTCCTGAGGCTGAACCGCAGTCGGTGGTGTCACCTGCTCCTGAGGCTGAACCACAGTCGATGGTGTCACCTGCTCCTGAGACGGAACCACAGTCGGTGGTGTCTCCTGTCCCTGAGGTGGAGCCACAGTCGGTGGCCTCCCCAGTTCCTGGGGCTGAACCACAGTCGGTGGTGTCACCTGCTCCTGAGGCGGAACCACAGTCGGTGGTTCCGCATGTTCCTGAGGTGGAGCCACTGTCGGTGGTCTCCCCTGTTCCAGACCCAGAGCCGCAATCGACGGGCTCTCCTGTTCCTGACCCAGAGCCGCAATCGGCGGGCTCCCATGTTCCTGAGCCGCAATCGGCAGGCTCCCCTGCTCCAGAGCCGCAATCGGTGGGCTCCCCTGCTCCAGAGCCGCAATCGGCGGGCTCCCCTGCTCCAGAGCCGCAATCGGCGGGCTCCCCTGCTCCAGAGCCGCAATCGGCGGGCTCCCCTGCTCCAGAGCCGCAATCGGCGGGCTCCCCTGCTCCAGAGCCGCTATCGGCGGGCTCCCCTGCTCCAGAGCCGCTATCGGCGGGCTCCCCTGCTCCAGAGCCGGAGCCGCAATCGACGGGCTCTCCTGTTCCTGACCCAGAGCCGCAATCGGCGGGCTCCCATGTTCCTGAGCCGCAATCGGCAGGCTCCCCTGCTCCAGAGCCGCAATCGGTGGGCTCCCCTGCTCCAGAGCCGCAATCGGTGGGCTCCCCTGCTCCAGAGCCGCAATCGGCGGGCTCCCCTGCTCCAGAGCCGCAATCGGTGGGCTCCCCTGCTCCAGAGCCGCAATCGGCGGGCTCCCCTGCTCCAGAGCCGCTATCGGCGGGCTCCCCTGCTCCAGAGCCGCTATCGGCGGGCTCCCCTGCTCCAGACCCGGAGCCGCAATCGGCGGGCTGAGCTTAACCTCCTGTCTCTTCGTGAAGCTCTGGAAGAGCTGTCTCTCTGGCAACCTGTCTTTGGCCTGCAGCTCTTGAAGAGTTGCATCACAGGAAACCAGTTTCAAGCCTGAAGCTCTAGGAGACCTAACCTGCTGATCTAACCTGGTGAGCCAACCCAAGATTCCTAAGCGGTTGAAACCTGATGACTTCTATGTGGAGTTTCCCTAGAGGTTCCCCCTGTGGATTTTCCCCTGTTGTTCCCTAACCCGAAGATTCCTACGTGGTTGAAACCTGAAGACTTCTGTGTGGAGTTTCCCTGGAGGTTCCTACGTGGAATCAGTTTCTTCGTGTTTTCCCCTGTTGTTCTCTGCAGTGAGCTGGAAGCTCAAATCCAGGACTGCCACGCTAAGCCTGAAGCTAGAAGCTTAGCCTCTCATGAACTCTGCTAACCAACAGTCTCCAGTCCCAGTCAAGACTCCAGTGAACCAGCCCCTGACCAATTCCAGTCCCAGTGCTTTAACCTTGTGTTCAGAACTTTAATAAACTCTTTGAACTTTTACCCAGTTTTCCCGTGTGTGTTCTGCATATTGGGTAGGGCTGCAACAACGAATCGATAAAATCGATAAAAATCGACTTTTAAAAGCGTTGGCAACGAATTTCATCATCGATTAGTTGTGTCGCGCGATTATTGCGTCATCCGCCGCGCCGTCATCACTGCCTCTTGACTGAAAGAGGAAGAAAAAAAAATATGGCAGAGCGAGTCAGCACTGCAGGTGCAGTGTTGCCAACTCAGCAACTTTTCAGACCCCTCCAGCGACTATTTTTCAAAAAAGCGACTAGCGACAAATCTGGCGACTTTTTTCGGTGTCACTGGCGGCTTTTGGAGACTCTTACGTGAAAGCATGTATCGTTCCTACTCTGCCGTGGGGCGCATCCCCCCGCTCCCGCAGGAGTCCCTCTCAGCGCTGCAGTCAGAGCCTCAGCGTCCAGACTGCAAATGAAGCGCGCATGCACCGGGACTGACGGCGCAAATTGATCACAATAATTAAAATAGCCTGCGCTTTGTAAAGCGAAAAAAGTGATAACATGCAACTTTTTTCAAAAGAAATTAACATGGCTCGGAACCACCATGTTTGTTTGGTTTTAAAGTGGGGAAACGTTACGTTAGTTTCTCAGGTAGCTCATCTGATGCTTTCCTTACCTTGTTAGCAGGTTACAGACAGTGATAAGGTTGGCTACTTATTTTACTTTTAATTTCATTTGAATTAGCTTAAGCAGCGTTTATATTTTCTTTATAAATAAATTAACATGCAAATTATGAGGGCAAGGCTTTTAAAGTTTAAATCTTCTGGCAAAGATAAAGTAAAGAAGATCCTGCAATTTATGGAAGTAAAGCAGAATAAAATCCAGCAAGATCAGTAATATGTCAATTAATTGTCTGCCACATTCCCATGTAAATATCTGTCTTTGGAGGATGTGTTTTTTAGCACCCCTAGTTCTCTCATTTTTATTCCAAATACAATTTATAATTTGAATCACAGGCTATTTTTATCTCTATGGTTAAGTATTTTCTCAAGTAGCAACTTTAACTGCTATACTTTCCTGTCTTAAAAGGCAGAACTCTTCTAGTCTAAAAAAACTCATTTGTTGAAATGGGGGGGCCTATTGTTTGAACCCCTTAGGGGCTTTTAAAAACAAAAATGTATTTTTTTGCGCTTTATGAAACAAAGTACCCTATATTTTGTGGATGTTCAGCTACATTTCTCATGTAAGTTTGCGTAGTTTTAACACAAACATTTATTTTTCATATTGCACCAGTACAGTTAATGAGCAACCTGTACTGGTGTGCTTGTTTGTTCTGTCTAAAATTTTTATTTTGGAATAAAGAGGTTAATATAAAAAATATTTTTTGTCCGATTCATCGATTAATCGAAAAAATAATCGGCCGATTCATCGATTTTTAAAATAATCGTTAGTTGCAGCCCTAATATTGGGCTTAAACTTAGAACCCATCATGACAGTTTGCATGTGTTTTTAGACCTTATGAAGATCAGGGCCTATGCTTATATGATGCATGGATAAGTTTGATCATGAGTGAATACGGTTATTACATTGCAATGGTTTTATCAATATCTTGGTCATTTTTGACTGCATAAGTTACAATTATTTTGCCGTTTTATTTATTTGACCTGTTAAAGGTATATAGGGCGATGTTTTATTTCTGGGTGGATCATCTCAATCAGTGGTCCTACTAACTGTCAATCATCCTGGTGATATGATTGCGTAAGGCTGTACTACGCATTCGTCCCGTTAGCAACCTTTTTCTGCGCACTTTAAGTAATATCTGTGGTTAGCTACAGTTTCAGACGGTCATTGAAGCTCACCTTTCACCGCGCTTCTTTGAAAATATCCGAGGTTCGTAAGAGAAAAAGCATCTACGAAGTGTATGAGAAGAAAAGAAAGACCTCAGAAGAGGCAGATATATCCCAGAATGCTTTGCCCGGAGAGCTCTCCTTGCAAAGTATTATAGGAATTGCTGTCACAGCGTCCCGCTGTCGCCATAAGGCTGGTTTATACTCAGAAACCAGGTCGTCTGCGTATTTGTCACAGTTAACGCAGATATGTTAGTTGTTATGCTAGTTTGTAGCTCTGTGCGACGGTCTGTTGGTTTGCACCTGAAGCCAAAACACGCAGCGCCACGGCCAGTCTTTGGAAAACACTCACGGGGGAACGGTGTGTCGTCCGGCGTTGGATGAGGGGCTGTAGACGCCGAACAAGCTCGTCAAACCGACATTAAGTTGTGGCGTGGAATAACATAGCGCAGACCACGCTTCAAAATTAGAAATAAATCAAGAATATCTGCATCATGCCAGCAACAAGCTAACTGTGACACACTGCTGCGGGAGGATAACCAGCCCTGAAGGCTGTCGCTACTCGACTGCGGCAACTAATAACAAAGAGGAGGAGGAGTTACGTGACCAATGGACGAAAAAGCAGTGATCATCTGTCTGAATGGTCAGTTAACAGAGTTCACTATAAAGTTCACTATATAGGCCCCGCTCTAAAGTGATGGAGGGTTTTAGGCTCAGAGTCAGTGAGCTTGGATGAGAACAGCAACTTTTAAACAGAGCGTGCACGAGGAGGAATGGACTCTTGCATACGCGTTTTTTTTTTATGTAAAGGGCGGGTCTTTTAAAAAATCCTCCACAATACCTTACCACTAGCTGTGGCTATTAGGACTATTATTTTATCATCAATGTTGACTTCATCTGTAGCCACTAAACAAACCAAATGAACTACCTACACTCTGCCTTTAACTTTGATTCATATATTTCTGTTCTAAAAGGCTTGTTATTCATTGTGAATATAACAGAGCATTCAAAGCATGTCAGGTCATATTTCTATGCTGACTACATTTAATGATGACTGAATATTTTGCAGTATTGTCTGTTAGTCTGTAAAGAGGGTCCCCAGCAGGAAGCTGCTGCTCTTTGCAGGTCTGAAGAACTCCAGTCATGCCATGTGAGTTTGCAGCTTTTCTCATCATGCAGTTGTAGTTTTTTTTATGCACCTGCAGGGTGTTTGCACCCCTCGACCACCATACTGAACATCTGTGAGTGTGTGCAGGTACCCACCTGTTACCTCCTCCAGGTTGGGATTGATCAGCCGTTCTGGGCCAGAGTCCAGAGCGCTGTGAGTGCGCCGCTGGATGGGAAACAATGGCAGACAGCGAACAGTGAATAGAACAGTCTCTGCTGACGTGGACCAACCAGCCGTAACCTGCTGAGCACTGACAGGGGAGCTGGAAACCACCAGGCAGCAGGACCTAACTCTATCCTTTCTCTGCCTGAAACAATGGCGGCTATATTAGCTGTGATCAGCGGGTAGAAAGTAGTTAGAATCTCTGTTGAAGTGAGAAAGTCCTCCTGAAAACATGGTCTGTGCAGTCAGTTCATCCAGATTACCATCCTGCCTTCAAAGATTATTTCTCTGTGGGAGCCGCTCAGACCCCCACATACCAGCGCTGCGCTGTCACTGGGAATCCCCAGCAGCAGCTGCCTCAGACCCGCTCGCCTCTCCAGGGTTTTCCCCTCCTGTTGGTGGCGGCTGGAAGTAGATGTTAGCGTTTTTCAGGTCTGTGCTACAAACTGCAGGCAGCAGGATAATAAAAGCCAACATATTCTGCCGGCAGGTTTCTACATTTGAAGTTAATTAAGGAGTTTCAGAGGAGTGATCATAGCGCTCTGCATCAGCAGTGCTGCGTCTGACTCCCTGCCAGCTCCCAGATCAGCTTCTCTCATTGGTTGATGCAGCGCGTCCAGCAGCTGCTTGTAAAGCGCCTCAGATGCTCAGAAGCTCATGAGGCTCCTGCTGCTCAGACGCCGCAGGACTTTAATTGCTGCGCCTTGATGCGCATCAACCATTGACTCTGCATGTAAACCAGCTACTTCTGCTGCCTGCGTCTGAACGTAGCATTATGCTAAGAAAACATCCACCTGGAGGACAGACAGTGAAGTCAGTCACTGCAGGGAATTCAGGTGCCTTAAAGAAATAAAGCAGATTTTTTCTTGCTTTGGTAGTTTATCATGGTAGTTTAGTTTATCATGCTAGTTTAGTTTAACATGGTAGTTTAGTTTATCATGGTAGTTTAGTTTATCATGCTAGTTCAGTTTATCATGCTAGTTTAGTTTATCATGGGGCTGCTTCAGCGGAGCAGCAGTGACGTTATGGCTGGTTGGTGTTTTTCTATACATGCTGTGTGAACAGAGGGAGACCAACAAACCGGAGGCCTGTTCACCATCCAGTAGGCTCTCTCCTGGCAGTCCATCACCACCCGGTCTGCCTTGTTCCTGTCTCTACCTGCCCTGGAAAACAGCAACAAAGAGACACAGAAGAAAATATTGATAAATGTTCATACATCGCTGTTAATAGGTAGCTCTTTCTTTATATTTCTATAGATATTAAAAGCTTAAAAAGCAGAAAGGTGAGCAGATTGATGGAAATCTACAGCAGGTGTTTGTCCCTCATCACAGCATGGACATGTTCACCACAGCAGAGCTTTTAGAGATGCTTAAAAAACACCTGCAGAAATTAATGATGAGCAAAAGTTTGATTTGTTTTTACTCCATACTAGGAAGCAGGAAACAGTAAAGCTGTTGATGTTCTGTCTGCTGTCCAGGGAGGTTCTAGCAAAGGTGTCAAACTATTCATGTTTATTCCTCCAGTTTAAATCCTGCTGTTCAAAAACATTTTATAGAAGTTAGAGGATCAACTTCAGCTTTTTACTTCAGTAAAAGTGTAAAAGTACAATTCTTTAAATCTACTTAAAGTATAAAACTAAAAGTAATGCAAGAAAAACTGTTCAGGCCAGAAGCTTTACTGCTCTACTCTATTAAAGGAAAATTTCTCTACTATTCTGGATGATAACTTCCTTAGACTTTGTTTTCTTGGTTTTATAACTAATGGTAACAGAGTCATGTTTAACTTTGAATCATCTGAAAAAACTATTTATTCTGGTATGTGGTGAGCAACAAGTTGGGGCAGCACCGAGTCCAAGCACAAAGAAATTAATTGTCTGGTTGAAACTAATTATTTTGTTGGTTTTTATTGTTTTTAAATTCCAACAGGCCAGAATGAAAATGAGATTAATTGAAACTAAAATAACGAGTCTATTTTAAGGAATAGAAAGTCCAGGTAATTGTAAGAAAATATAACGAAAAAATAATCCAGTGGGGTACAGATAGCCAACATTTCTACTTAAGGAACAAAACCCTGAAATTATTTCCTTTTTTTTTAGTTTTTACGGCACTAGTGGCTGATAGAAAAGTGTGTATGAGAGATGGGGAGAGACATGCAGGAAAGGACCACAGGTCGAATTCGAACCCGGGTCGGCCACGGCCAGGACTAAAGGCAGCTATACACGGGTCGTGTGCGCTAACCACTGCGCTGTCAAAGCCCCTTTATTTCCTTTAAAGTTTAATGAAGGTGCATCCCCTGGAGCTTCAGGCGTATCGGAACAGAGTTTGACCTCTTAGATTGGCCTCTAGAATCTTCTAATGTTCCCCTTTTGAAAACTGTCAAAATGTCTCCTTTGTCTTCAGATGAGAGTCTGAGCCTCATGTTCTAGCAGTTTGTAAATGTTAACGTTTGAGCAGACGTTTCTCTGGTGATGTTTCCACATGAGGACAGCAGAAGGCTCCATGTGTAACGCTAATGAAGAAGCTGTTTCCATGCAGAGGTCACTTACTTGTACTGCTCTGTTGCCTGCATTACAATGAAGTCCCATTTATGGTTCAGCCATTCATGCAGGTGGTTATAATGAGCCTGTTAAAAACACAGACAGGGGCAGATTTAGGACATTTGGGGCCCTAGGCAGAGACAGGCAGGGGCCCCTCTGAATGGAGAACCCATCAAACAGCCCCATTCTCCAGATAGAGAAATGTTAATAGAATAGACATCCATTATCTGTTCTAGGTTGTGTCCCTCTCTTCTTGTCCCTTTTCTTCTTGTTTTCCTCTCTATGTTTTGTACTCAGCTGACTTTTCATGCTGTCTCTAAAGGAATGAAAGATTTTTTCCAAGCACTAAGCTCACTTAGCTGATTGCTCCTTCCTGTGTTTCCAAAAAGGCCAAAGTAAATAACCCAGTCCTTCTTTTCACTGTAGACAAGCCATGATCTGCTTATCTGTTCTCCATTTTTTCATTTGGATGAAATAATAGCTGCATGAATCATGACAGCAGACAAGATAGAGGAGAGCAGGAGGCGGGGTTACCAATCTACTCGCTCTGGAGAGCAGAGTTCGCTGCTTTTAGATGTTGTCTCCAAAGTCTCCAGTAGCAGAAAAAAGTCTCTAGATTTGGCGCTAGGAGCTTTTTAGAAATCAAAGTGCTAGAGGGGTCTGAAAAGTGGCTAAATATAGCGACTAAAGCGCTAAGTTGGCAACACTGCTCTTTGCATGGTTTGTTTCCAAATGGTTTACTGCTGTCTGTTTGGACCTTTCTGAACATGTGCAGCAAATGGACTGATCCAATATGGTGGACACTGAAAGGGGGGGGGGGGGGGGGGGGGGGGGCTGAGACATGCTTAGGAAAAACTAAAATTCTTGCAAGAGAATGTTAATGTTTATTTAACCTCGTCAGACGTAGAGACAGATCTCTGACAGAGCTCAGTACATTTATACAACAGCTCCCAATATACACACTCTACGTTGAAACTATCCCATCCCTACATAAAGAACTTTCTCACAGACGAACATTTGGAGGAAAAACAACTGTCATCAAAGTCAGTCCCATGGAGGCTGTGTAACTCATTCTTATCTCTCATGATCTTCGTTTGGAGCCTGTGAGGCTAAAAACAGACATTTTTTACTCCACAGCTATAAATAATGTTATAAGCGTTAATGGTAAATCCCTCACTGAACAGACAGGGGCGATATTGACCAGCATGAGTTTGTGAAATAACTGCTTTATAGAACAGAAATTCCTCTGCGTCCAAGTTAACCCTTTAAACCGATCAGGCAGAACCCCTGTGGATCTGCTCCACTCTCAGGTATGTCAAGTATGAAGGTCATCCTTAACTTTATCATAAATGTACCCATCATCTACATGGGTTTACCTGCCAAATAAAAACAACTCTACCTGAATTAAAGCAACAACATGACGCTGATGATTTCAAGCCTTCAATCTAAGGTTGTAACAATAAACACTTTCTATTCATTCCTGACATGTTCCTAAAAGGATGCCCCTGTGGAGGCGTCTGTGGCCCCCTGCACAGCGCGGTACCTGCTCATAGGGTTCCAGCATGCCTTTCTTGCGGATGTTCCTCTTTGCCAGATAAATGGCTGAAAAACAGCAGAAACACAGGAAGCTGAACTTGTTTAATGACGGGCAGCTTTAGTTAAAACTGCAGGAACAGGATTGCTTTTCTGAACACATGAAAACACTCTTTAAAGTCGCAGGGAAATCATATTTAAATATCAAATCATTCTGGCTTAAAACATCTAGATAAATATATTCTTTATCAGACCATATTGTCCCAAAATGTAGAACTTTTCTATTTAAAAAAAGAAAAAAGCTGTCATAAAGTCTGCGTTTTTTTTCGTTATCTTATGCAGGCTGGATGGTCATACGTCAGCCTGAACACCTACATTCAGCCAACCTTGGATCAACGGAAGCATAAATAAACCAACACTGCTGTTAAACATAAAGCCATGTAAGCAGGATTTGGACTAGAACTGGTACGAGGCTCATTAGCTTTCCATCAAACAACAATAATGACAGACTGGATATGGCAAGACCTTAATGGCAATAAATAAACACACAAAGATCAGACAACAGCTTAAAGTGAGTGAAGCTAGCTAACCAAAGGCCGTGACATTTCTGCTCTAAATCACTGCACCTACCGTAATCAGAGTCGTCTGGAACCCATTGCTGCGTCGGCCAGAAGTAGGGGGTCTGAAAAAGTCACGCATTGATTCTGCTGTTAATACAACAGTGGGAAAAAAATATATATATGTACATATATATATATATATATATATATATATATATATATATATATATATATATATATATATATATATATATATATATATATATATATATATATATATATATATTTATGAGTTAACGAGCAAAGTCTCTCCCATAATAACACTCATTCAGAGTCTATATCATAGTTAACATCCACTTCATTGAAAGAGAAATGGCTAATAGTCTGGGCATGTCACTATATCTCTGCAAATTGAAAATCATAAGAGTTTCCCATATTTTATTAATCTTCTGTTCTGTTATCCAGTCACCTGTTAGGTTCCTGTTTTTAAGGAAACTTCTGTTGTTTTTTCAGTCCGTATTTAGCACAATTGGCAGAACAAATTGTTAAAACATAAACAGTTTCTCAAATGCACCATATTTAAACTGCATAAGGAACAATGTGCTATGCATGCAGAGCGGCATAAAGGGTCAACAGTCACGGCCCCCAGTCTGCCCACTGTTATCGCTATTCTTTGAAAAAACAAAAACTATATATAACGATATCCGAGCTTTCCATCTGCCTTGAAGGCATCATTTCATTGATGAATCAACCCTCGGTAATAAACAAAGTCTCCCTGAACAATTACGACATTAATCTGGCAGCCACTACAGGTTAGATGTTAGGTCCTAATAATCTGTCAGCAGAACCTGAGTTAAAAAAGTGAACCGTCACTTTAATATCCAGTAAATCTCTGCAGCGAACAAACAGACTGTTGATGACATCAGACAGCAGGATGGGTACCTGGAAGCGGTAAAGGCTGCTGTCATTGCACATCACCAGCTTCTTATGGTTCTGCAGGGGGTAGATGTAGCCATAGGCCACTAGCATGGTGCCAAACACCTCAGCCTCTGGAGAGAGAAAGCAGAGAAGATGGCAGCTTGTTTTTTATTTAGTCTCTAAGATCCTAAAGAATACAAAGCTTTCAATGAACAGCAAACATAATCATTTTCAGATTCCAGTTTAATGTCAATCAATAGGAGGATCAGCAGATTTGATTTCTGTCCCAAAGCTGTGCGGCACAAACTGTTTTATATGATGCAATCAAAGATCCTCTGAGGCGCCTGCTGCAGGTCGCTGCCATTTATAGGGTCCATCTGAAGCCTGGTTGATCAGAAACCAAGAGGTCTGCATCTGTGGCGCAGATAACACAGATATGCCCCCCTTCTTCACACCTGCACCTCCACAAAATTGTGGGTGACCGCAGACAGGAGGCCTCTGATTGGTCAAATCTACGACCGTTTCTCGTGTCCTCGCCAAGTCTGTTCTTGATAAGAACCCAGGAAAGTCTGGACTCGGGGAGAACATGCGGCATAAATCTGGGTTAACTGGAACAGCAGCGTACTGATGACATCACCACATTCAAAGCTAGTCTGGAGCTGCATTCCTCCTCCTGTTATTAATAGTCTCTAGATAATAATAAATTCTGACTTTTTCATTTATTTGGGGGAATAATAATGAACACAGTCAGATAAACACAAATCAAATGAACATTTGCCAAATAAAACAATCAAACCTCCATCAGAGCCAGCAGTACTTCACACACGGCTATGCAGAGAGAGGGCTGCTGCAGACGGACTAACGGGAGAACATTTTTTTTTTTACAGCACTAGTGGATCATTTTTACTGACAGTAGGCTGACAGGAAAGGGGACATGAGAGACATGCAGGAAAGGACCACAGGCCGGATTCAAACCGAGGTCGCCCGCGGCTGTTGGGATCTGGAGGCTTGTCTAACTTTCTCCACCAGAGGGAGCCTGAGATCTTCCTCCTGAGGGCTGAGCTGACTTCTGCACACCTGTTTCCCATCTGCTCATCTGGAGGCCTTCTTAAGGAGGAGGAGGCTGACACTTCCCTGCCAGAGTGTTTGCCAGTAATGGTACCAGCAAACCTGAGCCAGCTAACTCTGATCTGTTTTCCTGATTTTTTGAGAACCTCTCTGACTCTGTGTTCTTCTGCTTCTCAGATCCTGACATATCTGGTGATCAGTCAACTCCTGGAGAAAACTCTCGCTGCCTGGAACCAGCCTGTCTGCCCTCAGCCTCTGCCCTCTGCCCTCAGCCTGCCGATCAGCCTCTGGACCCTCAAGGTTCCCCCCCTGCCGGTCAGAATACCCCCTGAGCAGGAATTAACCCAAACCGCCGTTAAACAGTAAGTTTCCTGGATCCTCCCTAACCGATCTGTCCTCCCCTAGTTGCTTCCCTCCCGTGACCAGCCTGACGAACCAAGACCCTGTTCACATTTCTCAGAAAACATTGTCAATAAACCTTTTAACTTTTTTCCTGTTTCTGGAGTGTTTCTGCATGTGGGTTAGAAGATTAGACCCCAACATGACAGGGGCAAGGACTAAGGTCTCCATACATGGGTGGTGTGCGCAAACCACTGCGCCACCAAAGCACAGCCCATAGGTTTATATATATATATATATATATATATATATATATATAAAATATGACCTGAACAATTATTTCAGGTTCCTCCTTAATGCAGTGGACTTTTATAACACGAGCCTGACCGCCATCTTGGACCGCCATGTTACTGTTAAAGAGAGGGCAGTTTCCTTTCCTCGCTCGGCCGCCTGGTTTACCTCTGAGCTTAGGAAAATCAAGGCTGCAGGTCGAGAGCTTGAAAGAAACTTATTGGCCTCTGGGCTACTAGTTGACAATAACCCTTATCAGAGGCATCGCAAAACATATTCAAGGTCAGCCAAGCTGTTAACTCGGGTATTTCTAAAATACTCCTTTGACCCCACCAACCATTTTTAAATATAAACTTATTTTCTTCATCCGTAATAAGATCCCCCCCCCCCCCCCCCCTTCCTGTATGCTACACAGTATCAGGAGCATAAAGCAGGTCTCAACAGGTCAAACTTGTCCTGGTTCCATTGGGCGTCACTGAGGTATCATCATAAGAGCATTTGTCTCAGTTTTCAGTCAATGTACCAATGCACACAGATACAAATATTAGACGTCTTTATTCTCCAATGATTTTTTTATTTTAGGATCGTAGAGGAAAAAAACAAATTTCCATTCACTGATACTACCTTCTGTGGTTGTCTTCATCTTGTTTCTAATCCAAGCGATTATGTTGCTGCCTGTTTGGGAACAGAAAATGAGCCTTTAAACACACGACAACATTTATTGAAGTTAAAGAAACCAATCAGTATGACGATGCTACGCTAATGAGCTGCTTATTGTGCAGCAAATATGCAACAGAGAACAAAAATGATTAATTTGTCGCTGACTAGAAACAACCCAGTGCTACAGCAGCACTGATGGTTATTTCTACCGAAACACACAGATGAAAACATTGTCCTGCAGTTTCCACACCTCTGGAATAAATGCACGCTTTGATTCATGCACAATATAACAAATGAAAATATTTTACTGTTTTTTAAATAGTTTTATCAAGTTCTATGTAGTTGGAAAAAAAGTATTAAATTTAATTCAATTCAGTTTATTTCTATAGCTCCAATTCACATCATGTCATCTCAGGTCACTTTCCAGTTCACCAGATGATCCAGTCAGATTGATTCAAAGTTTTCTATCTAAGGAAAACCAGCTGATTGCATCGACTCATTAGCTACGTTTACATGGACACAAATAATCGGATTGAAGGCCTGATCAAATCAAAAATGTTTCATGTAAACATGTCTGAAGATTCTAATCCGATTCGGTCCGATCGGAAATAAATTTAATTCCGAAAGAGAGAGGTGGTTTTTGCCGATCGCCATTCTGATTGGCGTCCATGTAAACACCCATTCGGATCTTAAGAGTAAAATAATCTTCACTGCGCATGTGTGCGACATCAGCGTGACGTTTTTCCGCCTTAAATGTATAAATAAATGTAAGGCAATAAATGTAAGGTGCGGATGGACATGCCATCCTGCTCTCTACCACTGAAGCGAAGGAGGGTTAGCATAAGGTACTGGTGAGTCCTTAACTTAACTAAAATGACCACCAAAAACAAAAGTATTGTTACAAAGATGCGACGAAGGTCCATGATGGAAAAAAACAACATCAACAAACACGACTGAAGAAAAAGAAGTGAGGGGCAGGCACAAAGAGTAGCTAAAGTTGAGGAATTGTGGACAGGTACTAGTTTGTTTACAAAAAGCCGGTTTCTTCTTCTACTGCTAAAGCGGAAGTACACAGTTCTGCGCATGCTTAAAAGATTTAATCTGATCCAACGCTTGGTACATGTATACACACGTCATGATCGGATCATTTCCTTTAGTGTCCATGTAAACGGAGAATTTGAATTTCCGATCAACCAAGGTTTGGATCGGATCGGGGAAATTTTGCGCATGTAAACGTAGCTAATGACTCTTCAGCAATCCCTCACACTAAGCATGCTTGTAGCGACAGTGGAGAGCATCATGTGGCCTTGCAGGTGAAACAGGCTGATTGAAAACTTTTATAGTGAGTAAATAGTATAAATTAATATATGAAATAAGAGAAATCTAAATTTTCGGACCACAGTCTATCAAATAAAAGTAATTTGCAGTTTTGTGAATGAAATTTGATGAAATTCAAAATTTTTACTTTATTTAATGAAACTACATTTGCCATGTATTGTGTCTGTTGTTTGCATTTAACATAAAAACACAGAGAAATAATATGTTCCTTAAAAATATATGAGAGGAAATTATTTTTTTTCTGGATGGTGAAAATAAGGCTTGGCCAGTTAATCATTTTGTCTTCCGGTCCACTTGGCCGGTGAGTCAAAAAGATGATTTTAGACCCTGCATGTGACTTTTACATGTGGAACAAATCGTCTTCTTTCTGTTCCACCTCATTTTGGAGTAATCCTCGCCGTTTTTGCATACCCAAATGGAAAAACAAATAACTGAGGAACTGTACAGTTATGGCCAAAAGTTTGAGAATGATTCAAATGTTAATATTTCCAAAGTCTACTGCTTCAGTTTTTATAACGTCAATTTGCATAAACTCCATAATGTTCTAAAGATTGATCAGCGTAACAGCAATTAATTGCAAAGTCAATATTTGCCTAGAAAATGAACTTTATCCCCAAAACACATTTCAGCGTCATTGCAGCCCTGCCTTAAAGGAGCAGCTAACATGGTTTCAGTGATTGGTCCATTAACACAGGTGTGGGTGGTGATGAGGACAGGGCTGCAGATCAATCTGTCAGGATTCAGTCAGAATGACGCCACTGGACACTTTAAAAAGAGGCTGCTGCTCGGCATCATTGGTTCTCTGCTGTGAACCATGGTTATCTCTAAAGAAACACCTGCAGCCATCATTGCACTGCACAAAGATGGCCGAACAGGAAAGAGAATGGCAGCTAGAGAGATTGCTCCTCAGTCAGCAATCTATGGCATCATCAAGAACTTCAAGGAGAGAGGTTCCATTGCTGCCAAAAAGGCTCCAGGGCGCCAAGAAAGACCAGCGAGCGCCAGGACCGTCTCTGAAAAGTGTTTCAGCTGCGGGATCGGGCTGCCAGCGGTGCAGAGCTTGCTCAGGAATGGCAGCAGGCAGGTGTGAGTGCATCTGCACTGTGAGGCGGAGACTCTTGGAGCAAGGCCTGGTCTGAAGGAGGGCAGCAAAGAAGCCACTTCTCTCCAGGAAAACCATCAGGGACAGACTGATATTCTGCTAAAGGTCCAGGGAGGGGACTGCTGAGGACTGGGGGAAAGTCATTTCCTCTCAGCAATCCCCTTTCCCATTGTTTGGGACATCTGGAAAACATCTGGTTGGGAGAAGACCAGGTGAGCGCTACCAGCAGTCTGGTCTCATGCCGACTGTAAAGCATCCTGAAACCATTCATGGTGGGGTTGCTTCTCAGCCAAGGGAGTCGGCTCTCTCCCAGTCTGACCTAAAAACAGCCATGAATAAAGAACGGAACCAGAATGTCCTCCCAGAGCAACTTCTCCCAACCGTCCCAGAGCAACTTCTCCCAACCGTCCCAGAGCAACTTCTCCCAACCGTCCCAGAGCAACTTCTCCCAACCGTCCCAGAGCAACTTCTCCCAACCGTCCCAGAGCAGGTTGGTGATGAACGATGCCTTTTCCAGCATGATGGAGCACCTCGCCATAAAGCAAAGGTGGTATCTAACTGGCTCAGGGAACAAAACATGGAGGTTTTGGGTCCATGGCCTGGAAACTCCCCTGATCTTAATCCCATTGAAAACTTGTGGTCAATCATCACTTTTTCTTCTGGCAAAATGCAAGCATTGATTGAGCAGAATGGACGCTATCAGTCAGGATTTGGTCCAGAAGGTGATTGAAAGCAGCCAGGGAGAAATGTCCTGAAGAAGAGGGGTCAACACTGCAAATACTGACTTGCTGCATTAACTCATTCTAATTGTCATTTAAAGCTTTTGTTACTCATAATAGCATTGCAATTATATTACTGTATGTGACGACAACATCTGACATACACACATGAAAACCAGAGGGCAGCAGATCATGAGAAACTAGAATATTTGTGTCATTCTCAAAACTTTTGGCCATGACTGTAAGCACTACTCACATGTGTGATACATCATTTAAAGGTGAACAACTTCTAGTTTGTGAATATATGAATGGAAATTGGGTGAGTAAAACATAGCCCAAGCTGTATCAGGTTTTTGGGAGGGGTTTGTACCCCTTGTAGTGGCTCCTGCTTTAGACAGTAGACTGACAGGAAACGGCGAATGAGAGAGGGAGAGATATCGAAGCCGGGTCGGCCGCATCGAGGGCTAATGCCTCCGTACATGGGTTGAGCACACTAACCACTGCGCCACCTGCACTTCAAACGTGAATTTTTTATTCCCGAAAATAATAGGTCTTTTTTGAACAGCAGTAATAAAGATATGCTGGAGAAAAGGCAGGTCTCATTATATTCCATTTGTTCTACATCATCATGTCAACCAGAGAAATCTCAGACCTCTGGCTCAGACGGTTCCAGACCTCTAGCTCAGACGGTTCCAGACCTCTGGCTCCAATGGTTCCAGACCTCTGGCTCTGACGGTTCCAGAGCTCTGGCTCCGAGGGTTCCAGACCTCTGGCTCAGACGGTTCCAGACCTCTGGCTCCCACGGTTCCAGAGCTCTGGCTCCAATGGTTCCAGACCTCTGGCTCCGACGGTTCCAGACCTCTGGCTCCCACAGTTCCAGAGCTCTGGCTCAGACGGTTCCAAACCTCTGGCTCCAATGGTTCCAGACCTCTGGCTCTGACGGTTCCAGAGCTCTGGCTCCGACGGTTCCAGACCTCTGGCTCAGACGGTTCCAGACCTCTGGCTCCCACGGTTCCAGAGCTCTGGCTCCAATGGTTCCAGACCTCTGGCTCCGACGGTTCCAGACCTCTGGCTCCCACAGTTCCAGAGCTCTGGCTCAGACGGTTCCAAACCTCTGGCTCCAATGGTTCCAGACCTCTGGCTCTGACGGTTCCAGAGCTCTGGCTCCGACGGTTCCAGACCTCTGGCTCCGACGGTTCCAGAGCTCTGGCTCCGACGGTTCAAGATCTCTGGCTCCACCGGTTCCAGACCTCTGGCTCCCACGGTTCCAGACCTCTGGCTCCGACGGTTCCAGACCTCTGGCTCCCACAGTTCCAGAGCTCTGGCTCAGACGGTTCCAAACCTCTGGCTCCAATGGTTCCAGAGCTCTGGCTCCGACGGTTCAAGATCTCTGGCTCCACCGGTTCCAGACCTCTGGCTCCCACGGTTCCAGAGCTCTGGCTCAGACGGTTCCAGACCTCTGGCTCCAATGGTTCCAGACCTCTGGCTCCGACGGTTCCATACCTCTGGCTCAGACGGTTCCAGAGCTCTGGCTCAGACGGTTCCAGACCTCTGGCTCAGACGGTTCCAGAAATCTGGCTCCAATGGTTCCAGACCTCTGGCTCTGACGGTTCCAGAGCTCTGGCTCCGACGGTTCCAGACCTCTGGCTCAGACGGTTCCAGACCTCTGGCTCCCACGGTTCCAGAGCTCTGGCTCCAATGGTTCCAGACCTCTGGCTCCGACGGTTCCAGACCTCTGGCTCCCACAGTTCCAGAGCTCTGGCTCAGACGGTTCCAGACCTCTGGCTCCCACGGTTCCAGACCTCTGGCTCTGACGGTTCCAGAGCTCTGGCTCCGACGGTTCCAGACCTCTGGCT